TAAAGGTAAATAATCCAATAGAAAAATGGGCACAGGATATGAACAGACACTTCACTGAAGAAGACATTCAGATGGCTAACAAGCACATGAAGAAATGTTCAAAATCCCTAACTCAAAGAGAGATGCAAATCAAAGCAACCATTAGATATCATCTCACCCCAGTCAGAATTACAAAATTTAACAGACCAGCAAGCCACAAATGCTGGCGAGGTTGTGGAGAAACTGGAACCCTTATTCACTCTTTGTGGGGGTGTAAAATGGTGCAACCACTATAGAAGGCTGTATGGTGCTTTCTCAAAAAGTTACAAATAGAAATACCATTTGACCCAGCAATTCCACTACTGGGAATATACCCCAAAGAGACCATAACTGACACCCAAGCAGATATATGCACACCCATTTTTATTGCGGCTTTGTTCACAATAGCAAGGAGTTGGAAACAACCCAGGTGCCCATTAACAAACGAATGGAGAGAGAAGCTGTGGTATATTCACACAATGGAATACTATGCTGCATTGAAAAACAAGGAACTCATGCAATATTATTCAAAATGGGTGACCCTGAGGACATTATGCTGAGTGAAATGTCTCAGTCACAAAGGGACAAATACTGCATGGTGCCACTGTTGTAAAACAGGATTGACATCCGGGTTGAGGGGTGACTGAGAAAGATGGGTCAATAATGTATACTGCATTGAAACAGATGAGGGAGAAAACTGTTTAAGAGGGATATGTGATTAGGTATTTTTGTCATGACAGGAGTCCAGAGCAAAGGCTACATGGTGGAGTGGACCTGGGGGAGGGTTTGTAAAACAATGAAAGAATTTTTCTTTTACTTTTCCTAGAGGGTAGTGTACTAGGGGGGGAGGGTTGGGAGGGGAGAAAAATGCAACAGTGAATGAATGGAAATCCAAAGTCTCTGTAAATTTTTACTGAAATTAATAATGTTGTTGTTGTTAAATTAAAAAAAAATTACAGGTTCAGAAACCCAATGGAGGGTCACCAGGAGTTGAGGAGTTAGATTTTGAAACTTTAGTCTACTCTCTGTGCCAGAGCATTGTGAAAAAGTTGGCCCTTTTGTGAGAATGACCGAGATGGGATGGAAGGACTCAAAGTGAGCGTGTGCTGGTGGAAAAATGACATCAGCTGGCTCCCAGATGCAGGCTTGTCACAGCTGTCCATCTGTCAAAATCACGGTGTCCACCAGGCACGTCACAGAGCTGGGGGGACGCACAAGAGGAGCCATGCCTGATCAGACGGGAAGGGACGTGGGGTAACGCCAGCAGAGACGCCCGCCTGCTGCGAAATGAAGCAAAACTAGTTAAAGCTCTCATTGTAAAGTCTCTCCTTTAAAAAGAAGACAGGAGTGGGACATGGGGGTCCTGACAGAAACCAGAGCTGGCACTCTCTCAAGGATGCAAAGCGGATCATTTTAATAAGCTCATTACAACTGGTTTGTTGTATTTTGCATGGAAAGTATCCCCTTCCCCCATTACTGCACACGGCCCAGTGTCTGCTTCCCCTTCACCAAGCTGTACACTGGTTGCTGGATGACTTTTTTCCTTCTTTTTCTCTTTTAAAAAAATAAATTTTAATGAAAGTTTATAGAGGCTTATAGTTCCCCATCATTCATTGTTGCACTTTTCTCCCTGCCCACCCCTTCCCCCAATTCACTCTTCTCCTTGAAAAGTAAAACTCTTTTATTGTTATGCAATCCCTCCCCCCAGGTCCACTCCACTGTGCAGCCTTCGCTCTGGACTCCTGTCATGACAATAATACCCAATCAGATATCCCTTTTAAACAGTTCTCTCCCTCATCTGTTTCAATGCAGTATACATCATTCCTCCCCGCCTTGTCTGTCTTTCCTCGACCCCAATGTCAGTCCCGTTTTACGACTGTGGCACCATGCAATATTTGTCCTTTTGTGACTGAGATACTTCACTCAGCATAATGTCCTCCAGGGTCATCCATTTTGCATAATATTGCATGAGTTTCTTGTTTTTCAATGCTGCATACTATTCCATTGTATGAATATACCAGAGCTTCTCTATCCATTCATTTGTTGATGGGCACTTAGGTTGTTTCTAACTCTTTGCTATTGCAAACAAAGCCGTAATAAACGTGGGTGTGCATATATCTGCTTGGATGTCAGTTATGGTCTCTTTGGGGTAAATTCCCAGTAGTGGAATTGCTGGGTCAAAAGATATCTCTATTTGCAACTTTTGAGAAAGCGCCATACAGCCTTCCACAGTGGTTGCACCATTTTACACTTCCACCAATAGTAAATAAAGGTTCCAGTTTCTCTGCAACCTCTCCAGCATTTGTTGCTTGCTGTTCTGTTAAATTTTGCTATTCTTACTGGGGTGAGCTGATATAGTAGTTGGCTAGATGATTTTTAAGCAAGCATTTTTTTCCTGACTGGGCTGGACCAGATGGCCTTCTGGGCTCTCTGTGTGGTCTGGCCCTTCTTAACACGGGAGGGACCGTCCTACTGCAGTGGGGTAGATTCTGCCCCACAGTCCCCTCCACAGGAGGAGACGGCTCACCTTCCTCTCTTAGAGCAGCTGGTGGATCCAAACCACCGACCTTTTGGTTAGCAGCCCACCACATAATGCCCCAGGGCTCCCCAGTCGTGAAGTAGCCCGTCTGAAAGTCTGGAGGTTTTCTGGGTACACGTTGACTGACTGCTATGGTCAGTGAGGTCCTGTGAGGTGGCGGGAGGATGGGGCGTCGGTGGGCCGACATGAGGCTCCAGTCAGTGGACAGAGGAGGCTCCTCCCTTGTCTCTGCTGCTGTGTGAGTGGTGGTCTGTCCGTCTCCCCGCACTGCTGATCGCTTGGCTGAGGCTGTGAGCATCTTCGCCGAGCTGGCCCCAAGGACCCCAGGCCCTAGTCCCTTCACGTCCTGGTCCTTCTCCTTGGTTCTGCTCTAACCCCTCCTCCTCCTCACCCGTCGGAGGCATGCCCTGCCTGGTCTGAACTCTTGTCAGGCTTCCGTTGGCTCACACAGTCTCCTGATACAGCTCATACCACACGTTTTTGTAACCTCACAGTTGCCGTGGGCTGGAGCCCAGCTTAGCATGGCTGCTTCTGTGTGTCAGGTCCCAGAGGGCTGAGCTCCTTTCTGAAGACTGAGTCCTTGTCCAAGTTCACACGCCTGCCGGCAGCTCTCAGGACCTCGTGGCTGTAGGGCTTAGGTCCCTTCCCCTTGCTGCCTGTTAGTGGTGGCCTCTCTCAGCTCCTGTGGAGAACCCCTTGTTCTGGCCACAGGGCCCCCAACGGCCCCTCACTGTGAGCCTGCCAGGTTGTCCAGGAACAACAGGAGACTCCTACCCTCAGGACAGCTTGAGCCTTCTTTCAAGACCCTCACCACTCTGCTGCCCACCCAGGAACACCTGCCCCAGGTTAGTTCAAAACTGACCCGTTAAGAGAACTCAGAGATTTCACCTCTGCCATCTGGTGCCTCCTCACAGGAGTGCTGGCTAGTGCCTGCGCACCACGGCTGGTGTGTCCACCAGGGTAGGGAGTCCTGGAGTCCCCCTGCCCAGACTGGGGTACCGGGGGTGAAATTTCTGCATGTTGCGGTTGTTAGGTGCTGTCTGAGAACAAGTCAGCAACGCTGTGAAGCACAGATCTGAGTGTTGTCCTGTCCAGAACCATCGGCATCGTTTCTGACATGCTTGATCCCATTGTCACCGTCACTGTGTAACCCACCAGGTGGAGAATCTTCCTCTCCTTCACTGACCCTCCAGCTTTCCAAACACCATGTCCCTCTCCAGGGAACAGCCTCTCCTAGCGACATGCCCAAGTATGTGCGATGAGGCTTTGCTGTCTTTGCCTCCAAGGAGCCCCCTGGCTGTGCTTTCTCTAAGACTTACCTGTTCTTGTTTAAAAGCAACGTATGACTGGGTGTTACGGTCATGACAAGAGTCCAGAATGAAGGCTGCATAGTGGAGTGGACTCGGGGAGGGGGAGGGGATTGTATACCAATGAAGGATTTTTTTCCTTTATTTTTCAAAGAGAAGAGTGAACTGGGGGGCGGGCAGGAGAGGTTGGCAGGGAGAAAAATGCAACAATGAATGAATGGAAATGCAAAATCTCTGTAAATGTTCATTAAAATTAATAAAATAAAATAAAAAGACTTATCTGTTCTTTTGGCAATCCATAGGATAGTCAGCACTCTTCTCCAGTATCACAGCTCAAAGGCATGGAGTCTTCTGTCATCCTTATTCACCGGCCAGCTCTCAGATGCATAGGAAGTGACTGAAGACCAGGACCAGGCGTACTTCCTGGCAACTCTGCCATCTTCCCTGTGTCTGCCTCTTCCTAGACCTGGTTGGTGTGAGATTCATACACAGGTGTGAGAGGACAGTCCCCAGCAGGTGACCTTGAAGGCACTGCTGGAGGGTTAGCTCCCTCACCGGCCCTGTGTCATTGACCGTTTGACATTGGACTCGAAGAATTCTTGATTCTCTGACTGTTCTCTCTTGCCTCCCCCACCCTCTCCATTTCCTCCACAGGTCACTTTCATAATAAAATAATATTGTAAAAAATTACATTTCTGAGGTTATCTGGCTTTCATATGTATATGTCCAATTCACTTTTGAGAGGAAAACAAGATTCCATTTTATAGCTCCAGAGCTCTTGCATGACTGCAGAGAATGGCGTGTGTTTAGATGTGCTCCTTTCTGTCATGTCATTGTGTAGACTTTGACCATGGCCCCTGAGGTGCTCTTTTTGTGACATCACTGCTGTGTGTAGACGTCACGGCCGCTGATGGGGACAGCTGAGGCTGTGGGCTGTGCTGAGTCTCAGAAACGAGGCTCGAGACTTGCTCATGTGGATGCAAATACAGAGACAGCGAGACGGCCACTGCTGAGCACTCTGCTCCTGGCCACGGTCTTAGTCTCTGCCCAAGGACACAGTTACAGAGGACAAGGCAGGGTCTAGGACTCAGGTGACTGGGACACTGCCTCTGGGGCTCTGAACGTTGGCCGGAGCAATGCTGACCACGACCCAAGGCCTGCTGCTGGTGATGGCCATGATCGAGTTCTTCATTGGTCTGCTCGGGAATGGGGCCCTGGTAGTCTGGAGTCTCGGAGAGTGGGCTAGGCCAGCTGGACAGTCCACCTACGGCTACATTGTCCTCGGCCTGGCGGCCTCTCGCTTTCTCCTGCAATGGCTGATCATGGTGGACCTCATCCTGTTCCCATGCTTCCAGAACAGCCGCTGGCTCCGCTACCACAGTGTCGCCTGGGTCTTCGTGAGCCAGGCCAGCCTGTGGTTCACTGCCTTCCTCAGCATCTTCTACTGCCTGAAGATCAGCACCTGCCGGCACCCTGCCTGTGCGTGGCTCAAGCAGCGAGCCTATCGCGTGAGCCTTTGGGGCCTCCTTGGCTACTGCATCATCACTTTGATCCTTGTGGGCCATGTCACCCGGAAGGACCACTACACTTCTGCCTGGGGCAACAGCAGCGTCCCCCAACCCTTCTTAAACCAGCATTACACTTACTTACTCAAGCTCAATTCAGGCAGCTTCCTGCCCTTCTCACTGTTCCTTCTGTACTCTGGGATGCTGATGCTGTCTCTGTACAGACACCACCTGAAGATGCAGGCCTTCTGGGTGGGCAGGAGGGACCCCCAGGCCCGGGCTCACATCAAGGCCTTGAGCTGTCTCGGCTGCTTTCTGGTTCTCCACATAGTGTACGTCCTGGCCAGCCCTTTCTCCATATCCGCCAAGTCATACCCTCCGGATCTCACTTCTGTCTTCTTCTCTGAGACCATCATGGCTGCCTCCCCATCTCTTCACTCTGTAGTACTGGTCCTGGGCAACCAGAGGATCAAGCAGTCTGGGAAGAGAGTCCTCCAGAAGCTGCAGAGGTGGTGGGGTGTGACTTGGGGACAGGGCTGTACAGGACGCTCACGATGCTCTTGAGCATGTTCTGAAAGGGAGCTGATGGTTCCGTTGTGCAGCATTTCTTCCTTGACACTAGTCCCATGGCCAGGGCTCGTCCTGCACTGCAGGTGTGTCCTCTTAGGGAGCTACTGCTCGGGCTGTGCTCTGTGTTTGGTAGATGGATGTTTATTCTCTTTAGATGTGGCAAACAATACATTCGGGTTTTATATTATCCATGTAAACTATGCTGCTTTTCCTCAGATTCCTCAGAAGAATGACTTTAATGATCCATGATTTTTTGTGCATTTTCACCGAATTGCTAATGTTTGTTATCTGATACAAATGTATTTAGAAAAGACCCACAAGTGAAATAATTTTCCATTTTTCTACTGCAGTGCTTGTGGTTTAGCCATCTAACTAAAAGACAAAGCAAATACAAACACTTGTTTCTTTCTATTTCTGGTTATTTATCTGAGCCTAGTATTTGCCTTCTAGGCTACATGCCAGTTGACCATGGTCTTAGTTCTCTAATGCTAATCTAGTCTTAGTTCGCTAATCACAGTGAGTGGCTTCAACAAAAATAAGTGTATTCTCTTATGGTTTAGGAGGCTAGAAGTCTGAGTTCAGCTTGCCGGTTCCAGAAGTCTCTTTCTCTGTTGGCTGTTGGGGAAGATCTTCCTCGTCAATCTCCCTCTGAGTCTAGGAGAGTCTCAGCAAAGGGACTCTGGGTTCAAAGGACAAATGCTTCTCCAGGCTCTACTTTGTTGGTGGTAGGAGGTTCTTTTGATCTCTGCTCATTTGTTTAATCTCTTATATCTCAAAAGGGATTGACTCAAAATGCAGCCTATCCTGTGGAGTATATTATGTTTTGTGAACATAATTTTCTCTAATCCTACTTCATTATCATCATAAACACAACTAACGAGATAATGACATCAGACCACAAAACAGAACACAACTAAGTAACACTGAGAACCTTGACCTAGCCAAGTTGACACATATTTAGGGAGACAAGACACAATTCGATCTCTAATAGTGGCCATAGTCTTCATGAGACTCCCTGGAGGGGGGCAGCAGAAGTGACAGACCCTGGCTTGTGCTCCTGGAAAGTGTCCAGAAGGACACTGCTCCCCAGTGAGCTCAAGTGTTAACCTCTGACCTTTCACTCTGGCCTCTCAACAGCCTGAACTGGAGACTACCTAGCATGTCTGGGCATAGACCCAGCATGGACCTCCGATGTCTGCGGCTTTCACAGTACTGTTTGCATGTAATGAAATATTGTTGAGCAACTGGTTAGCTGTACTCCATAGTCTCCTTTATGTGGTCATAAAGTAACTGAGCTGAGAGGGAAGAGCTGGCCTGGGTGCCATTGGGGGCTGGTGGCTGTGCTAAGACCAGACCAAGTATCCTTCCTCTGTCCAGTGCCCTTGTCAGGACACTAAATAAGTGGCCATGGTAAAGCGCCGACCTGTCTCTCCCTCCTGAGACCCCCTTCCAAGTCCCACTTACTTCCTTAGCTTTCTTTTCAGCACTGTATGGACACATCTCTGCTGGTCTATATCCAAGGGACATGGAGTCCAGAAGATAAGACTTCATACACTTTCCTGTATCATGTGGGATCTCATGCGGGTCTGCTTTCATCTACTTTTCTTTCTTTCCATCTTTCCTCACCCACAGGGACGCAGGGAAGTCAATGTGGGCACTGTACACAGGACCACCAACCTGGGGAACTGGCTCTGCTGGGACCACCATGAGCTGTGTGAGGTCTGGCACCCCTTTGTGTTAGGGATACTGACTGAAGTCTCTCTTCACATAGGAAGATGCTACTTCAGTAGCAGGGTGAGTTTACATCATCCCACCACTGTTTTTATACAGATGCCCTTCATGGTCAGTTGTTCTGATGCTGACTGTGATGCCACCTGACATCTGTCTTGGACTTCACATCTTATCAGCCTCTCTTGCATGAAGTACATGATCTCATTTGCAACTCTGCACCATTAATATCTTTATCCCCATTTTACAGAGGCTATGTAATTAAAACAAACTTGGAAGCAGGAGTGGCATCCACTTCCATAATAGCTTGCCTCCAGAAGCCCTATGAACCTGGAGAGAGGATGAAAGTCACAAAAGACATAGGGTCGCTATGAGTCGTCTACGACTCGACGGCACTTAACAACAACATGTGAGTCTTTGCTCCCGGTAAACAGTGGTGAATGATGCCAGCCCCAGGTGGGTGAGTCCACATCTCGGCCACCCTGCAGGAAACCAGGATGACCGTGTTCATATCTGTGAGGATCCCTCTAGGTTGAGCTGGGGACACATTCACATGTATGCACAAATCTAATCAAATGGATCGAGCAACCAACCCTTCAAACAAGGGATGATGGCGGAGATGCATGCGGTCCTCTCATTTCTCTATTTTGGGGACAGAATCCCTGCCTCATGAGCTTTTCTTCCAGGATGGGAGAGCTTTCATCTCTGCACGTGATGCAGCTTATGATGGATGTGAGGCTACTTTGTGTTTTGGCCATGAAAACAAATTTGGAGGCAAATGTGTGCTCTTATCCAATTCCCAGACTGTGAAATCCCATTTGCATTCTCAGAGCTGCAGCTGGGCTCACCCACATGTGTCTGTGTGCGCATGCGTGTGCTTTGGGCATACATGCAGATGTTCGTAGCCTTGTCTTCATAGGCATGTCATGTTCACAGTATCACCTAGGATGGTGTCACCCAGGGGAAATTCACAGTGTCAAAGCTGACATGTGAGCATGGCTACAACAGAGGTTCAAACCAGACAGAACATGAATAGTAACATTTTTTGAGTCACCAAAAAATCTTGATGCCACACCTATCTGATGGCATTGTTGTTGTTGTGTACCATAGAGTCAGAGCCAACCCACAGCGACTCTCTGATGGGTTTTTAGAGGCAGTTACTCGCATAGGAGGAGATTGAGTATCCTTCTTCCATTGGTCCGCTGGTAGCCTTGAACCAAGTGCCTCTGAGACCGCAGCACAGATTCTTGCCACTAGGCCACCAGAGCTCTTTTCTACCTGCCAAAACCACTGTGCTGTTGTTATGTGCTGTCAAGTCAGTTGCAATTATTGGTTATCCTACGCACCATAGCTCTGAACACCCCCCTAACCTGAGCTACTCTCACTGTCTCTGACACACCTACCCCCGTTATCCCAGTTATTGTGTCAATCCATCTCTTGTGCTGTGCCCTCCGTCCTTCCAAGCAAGATGTCCTTCTCCTAGGACTGGTCCCTCTTGGCAACATGTCCAAAGTATGTTGGATGGAGCTTCAAAATCTTTATGGGTGGAGGAGGTATATAGCGATAGGGTCACATAATTTGATGAGTGGAGAGAGGTGGGTGGGTTAAGGAAATGGGAAGGATCCAATGTGAAAAACAATGTTTACAAATTTTGTAAGTAAACCACTCTAAAATAAAAACTTTATTAAAAAAAATCACAATTAAAAAAAGAAAAAGAAAAAATCCTTGCCTCCAAGGAACAACTTGTCTTTATCCTCTCCAGTACACACATGTTTGTCCTTTTGGCATGTTCAAAAACTCTTCTCCAGCACCACAACTCAAAGGCATCAATTCTGCTGTCATTTATTGTCCAGTTTTTTGATACATAGCAAGTAACTGCAAAGACCTCAGCCTGCATCAGATGCACCTTAGTGTCTAGACTGACATTGTTGCTATTTAGCACTCTAAAGAGGTCCTTGACAGCAGATTTTTCCCCAATGTAATTAATCTTTTGTTTTCCTGACTTCTGGTGACAAGAGTATTGATTGTGGAACTGAGTAAGCTGAAATTGTTAACAATTTCAATCTCTTCATCTATCATGGTGCTGGTAATTGGCCCTGTGGTGAGTTTTTGTCTTCTTGATGTTGAGATGCAATCCATCTTGAAGACTGCAGTCCTTGACCTTCTGCAACAACTACTTCAGGTCCTGCTGAGTTTCAGCAAGCAGGGTTGTATGATCTGCATATTGCAAGTTGTTGTTGAGTCTTCCTCCAATCCTGATGCCACATTCCTCCTCATAAAGTCCAACCTCCTGAATAATCTATTAAATGATATTTTGCATATATATAAAAATATGTGGACAAGGGACGCATCCCTGATGCACTCCTTTCTTGATTTTGAACTAAGTAGTGTTTCCTTGCTTTGTTCTGATGACTGCCTCCTGGTCCACGTATAGGTTTCACATTCTTCTCAAGGTTAGCCACAATATGTTGTGATCTACACAGTCAAATGCTTTTGTATAGTCAATGAAACCTATTATGTAGATACATTGTAATGGAAATTGACACACTGAGAAAAAAATCTAATTTTATCATACACTCAGGAAAATGTATTCTTGTTCATAGTAATTCCAAAACAAAGGAGAATCAGAACATGTTAAGACTGAAAAAAAAAAAAGACAAAATCTATAAGGCAATTACAAACAACACCATATGAACAAATGGTTTATAAACAAATTTATCTCTCATGGTCATAAAAAAGGCACTTGATATTGAAATGCAATGCCATTTTGTACTTATTTCATTAAAAATTAAGCTAAAATCTCAGTCATTGTTTTTTAGTTGGAATCAACTCATTGGAGGAGGAAATTTTGATGGTTCCGTGGTAGGAGTTGTGCTGCCAATCTAAAGATACACATTTGCATCCACCGTCTGCTCCACAGGACGAGATGGGCAGTCTCTTTCTGTGTGATTTGATGCCTTAAAAACCCACTGGAGGACAAGCTAGGAGTCGGTTCCGGCTTGATGGTACACAACAACAACAAATCAAATAAGAGCAGACCTCCCATTTTTCTCCCAAGGAGCTGCCCCAGGATTTGAACCATCAAAATAACATCACCTTAGGGTTAGAAGTGTCACTCCCTATGGGCTATTCTTCCAGAGTTCCCGAAACAGAAAAGATAATGTTTAATATGATGAGTCCTCCTCCAGTCCTAATCTCACATCCTTCTTCACAGGGCCTGGCTTCGCAAATGACATGCTCAGCAAACAGGTTGAATAGGTATGGAG